TGGTATACTTTCCAACTAGAGGCGGAGGTGGTGTAGTGGCAAGTGGCACGCTCACCGCGCGCACGATCCGATTATCAAATCCCGGATCACCTCACGCCGGGATCAACCGAACAACGGAGACGGTCCATTGGTACCAGCTTCGTCTGGGAGGATTACACTATGTTACATCTACATTATATGCCCCGCCCCCAGATAACTCCACCTTCGCGACACATTCTACACCCACTTCAAACATACTTCACACCTAATATAGATGTTACATTTGTTTTTCACAGTTTTTATCTGCTTTGACAGATAGACCCTTGACAACATTATAACTATGTAGTACACTTGACTCCGCCCCCGATGACTCCGCCCACTTATTAGTTGTTATTGGCCACCCCCTCCCCCGCATTCAGTGAGCCACTACGATTCTGAATGCAAACAGTGTGCCGGTACCCCAAAAGGGACTGATCAACGGCGAAGACCTTGACTTCCAACCTCTGTATTAGCTACAATGAAGACTTGGGTAGGACAGGGGGGAGGGTAGGGTGCGTAGTACTTGCCGACGTTCTGGCTCCAATTTAGTAGCCGATAACGGACCACTGAGCTATTGAAGGCTGAGTTGGCCCTTGATTCAAGCCTCGACATGTTAATTGTGTTCCAATTCTTTTGTGTTACGAGCTTGTTAAAGGACAACGCCTGTTATTTAATCCGCAATTCGGATGCGGCACGCATTCCGCTCCCATTCAGAGTCGTAGTGGCTTGCTGAGTGCGATACTGCTACCAATCTACCGTTTCCGTGAGCGTGGTAAGCGTGTCACCTGCCAATACACCATCTTCGCCTCCACAGGTTGTTAGGTAGACCATCTATTCGATATGGCCGAATCTTTGGACTTAATCGTCGTCTCTAGAGACCTGGAGAGGGAACTAGATCCACTTAACATATGCTCTACCCCGCCTCGTCAACTGTTGCGCTTCCAGTATCGTGTCGGGAACCTCTCGAGAAGACATAAGAAACCATGAAAACGAACCCATCCTATCATCTGAGTGCAAGGGTCCGCCGCTGCGACAGAGCGCAAATCAGTTATAAACAGGGGAGCCTTGCTTCGTCTCCGTGTAATACAGTACTTGAGAGGCGCACATACAGGGGGGCTGCAAAAAAGACACTTTGGCCGAGTCACATATCAGTAAAGTTTACGCAGCCCAGACAGAAGACGTGGATACGAGTACCAGGGCGGAAGATACCAAGATGTTCCTCGATAAGCAGGAGCAGGCTCTCGTCCATCACCTTCATGTACACCAAAATATGAAGCCATCTCCAATCGCAGCCGGACTGGAGAAGGCCTATGGAATTCACGTCACCTCCAAACAGCTGCGAAACTTTTTTGTATGGAGCCAGCCAGCTACCTGGGACCAGCACTCTTGATCTGGAAGACCTCCAACATCGAGCAGCTCCGACAACGTCGCTACGGTCCAGGATATCATCTTCACCGCAGTCGCCAAGGCGCGGGTTGATGGTATGGACCGGAAGTTCCTGGAATGGAAAGACCGATATTTTCTTCGACTGAAAGTGAACGCTGACGGTTACATCGACCAACTCGAGGAGAATATCCTGCCTTCATGTCGTCGCCTGTACCATCTTGGAAACTTCGTACTGCTACAGGATTGGGTGCCAGCACATGGAACTGAAGGGCGTTCGAAAAACTCTCGCCTACTTGGAATAGGAGGACATTGAGTTCCTGAAGAAGACGGATTATTCAACTGTGTCACCTGCTCTAAGCGCCCTCGATTACCGGGTTCGGAGGAGCTCAACAGGATGGTCTACAGTGGCAGAGACTACCCCGCTGAAATCAGCCACCGAATCACGGTCGCGTGGCTTAATCTCTCAATGGCATGTCCAGGCTGTGGCGAAGTTTCGTGATTCGTGATCATGTGTGTGTCGCGCGTTGTTGAATTGATGATGAAAATATCCACTTAAAATTTTAAATAGTGTAACTTACTTCGCCTTGAAAGTCGAGGAAGATAGGTGTCTCTTTTTGGGCCTCCCTGTAGAGCTATTTCACAGTCCGCGATGCTGTTCAAAACGGCAGAAGAATTTCAATTGTTGCTGAGAAGCACTAATCACGGCTGTTCATTCCGGATTTTTCAATCAATCCAGGGAACCTCTAATGCTTTCCTCACAGAAATTCCCGTCTCATTTGCCAGCACACTGCACTTTATTTCGAATTCTATACCATTGTACTCCACAATTTTATGTCTTCTAAGACCTGTTATATAGAATACCGCGTCTCATGCTAGCAATCTATTTCTCGATTCAGATTGTCAAAACCCTTCCTGTCTCCTCAGTATTCAGGGAGCTACGAGTCCGACCCAGGATTTCACGTATAAATCCATTGCCTATTTTACCCCTATTCAAATGCCTATTTTATGCTATTCGAGCTAGTAGCACACTCAAATCAATGTGTATGCACCGCTTCTATTAGGTTGGCCTTGTCCATATTGCAGAAGAAGAAGAAGAAGCAGGAATCAAGCGAGTGGTACTAATTGAAAGACCACTTTTTGATGTGCAAGTGCTCACCTTACCGTTCACCCTTCAGGTAATAGACAAATATTTGAGGTTCGAAAAGTGACAGAATTAATTCCCGTCAACCTAATAACATTCCGTTCGCGCGTGGCCAGTTCGCAGCAAAGAGAGGGACGAAATTTGAATCCTTGCCTTCCAAAGACATGTCGAGTCATCGTAAAAACCTGTGTTTGGTGTCATTACGCATTGCCAGAACAAAGTATTTAACTATCATATTCAGCTTCTTGTAAGAGTACTTATCAGCTCTTGTCGAAGCAACTTAAGTCAATTCAATTACCATTACCATAGCTAGCCTCGTACCGAAAGCTACACCAAAGCTTCATAACGAGCTCACCAAGTGCACTAAGTGTAGTACCAGAAACGTATCAAAGAGAACCAGTACGGACTTATCGTAAACAATAGCCTACCTATAACTTCCCCAAGCCTACACTGCTTATAATTGTTTAAGTTTTCATAAAAGCCTAACATGCGATGTTCTGTCTGTGCTTACGAATCTAGCAAATCCTGATGAACGAAAACACGCATCGTTACCACCCATAAGGTGAAGTCACACACTAACTCGCACTATTTACCCTCTTCCTGCTACAAGGACCCCAACAGGTACGACGGCCATTTACAATGAGATGGTATATCGTTGATGGGATGTGCCTTGAGTCCGCTGAATCCGAATCTGCCCTCCGATTTTGCGGAACGATTCTCTGAAGGGAGTTACGGACCATTTAATCTTTGCTGTGTTTGCACAAGCTGACCAGGAAAGCCACACGTCAGCCCGGCCATTTGCAACGAAATGTACATCATTGTACTCACCTTGCCACGATGAACACAAGACTATCTTTAAAATTTGCGGAACGATTCTCTGAGCGGAGTTGAGGTTTTTCTTTATTGCCTCTTCTTTCTGGCCCGCCGCCAGGGCCAAACAATAGACCCTCTTAGCGCAACTTCACAGCGCTCTTTCGCGCAAATAAACAGTATATAAATAGTCTCGTGTCAGTGGTTCATAAATAACCCCCTAGAAACGTCCACCCAGCAGATCGAGGCTCCAACTATTTTCCGAAATAATGGCGTAATGAACAGCTGTGGCTGACTTATAGCAAACGATCTCGTACCATATGATTAGACTGGGTTTTCCACTTGCAAATACCTCTTTCCATGTGCCTTTTTCTCGATAGACCTTTTACCCGCGCTATACTCTATTGCTTGCCGTTTGGCAATCATCTTCTCTCTTACACGACTAAACCATCTCTGAGACCATTCACCAACGTCGTTTAAAGGTGAGCTCCCCTGTGTTTCGATCCATGAAACACCACATCACATTTTCCAAGTTAGGTGGAAATATCAGATTCGGCTAGAAATTTGTCCCCAGGGGTAGTTTGACCCGCTGAACATGAATATGATGGTATTTCATTGCAAAAAACCCTTGTACATTGTGTTATCCTCATAAATAACAAAGTTTTACAAAGAACCTCTACATAGGAATCGCCCGCCTTTCTTTGCCCAATACCAGATAATTAGGGCGATAATGCCCAAATAGAAATTTCGGAGCGCTACATACAATGTTTAATAAAGCAAAAGCTTGCATAGGCCAAGTACCCAACGTTCCCCTCGTCTCTGGGAGCAATGCCACTTATTCCATAGCCTAATCGGCTACTTATAGCCGCTGCATTATCCTTCTCAACTTGAGCAAACGGAGGGAATATTAAATGGTCCGTAACTCCCTTTGGAGAATCGTTCCGCAAAATCGGAGGGCAGATTTGGATTCGGCGGCTCAAGACACGTCCATATTTATACATCTCACTGCAAATGGCCGGATCGACCTGTTGGTTTCCTTGTCCTATCAATCCGAACAGGACCAAGTCCTAACGAACTTTTTATCTCCTTCGGCATATTTTGCTCAAAATTGTATCTGGGTAATTGCACCTCCAGAATACGCAATATCACAATCGTTCAGCCAACTTCTGGCCGCTCGCGCAAGGCCCGCCCAATATTTGGGGTATTTTGGCCGTGCCCGTGCCTCGGGCGCCAGAAGCTTCGCGTGAGCGGACTGTCATTCGTCATTTGTAGGGAGTCAATACTACCCCTGGCCGGCGCGGCGCCAGTATATTTCGGGGTTCAAGCGAATGCCGATATTCGTGTTTCAGCGCGGGTCTATAGCTGTGAGCCTAAGTTTTCCAGCAAATTCTCCCCCACGGAGAAAAAAGTCGTCAGGCACTGGACCTATTTCGGAAGGTCGGGCAGTAAAGCTAAATATTCCGAGACTTGCTACCTTACATATGACTTCACATACCAGATCCAAGCTTGAGGGTTCCGCCTTCTTTTTCCTATAGCTTTCTTCCAAATTTATCCCCTGTTATTGTGCTAAATACGAAAGCAAATTCAGATTCCGTTAGATGAGTGTCGCGTCAGTGCAAGAGCCACTCCATCTCCGAGTCAACGAATGCCATCATGGTCTGCGGCAATGATGTTTGGATTCCAGGTTTCTAATTTTTCACAAAAATCGTTCATATTTTCCGAAGTTTCTTCCGTGAAATATTTTATTCCAATCTCCTTTAATTATTATCAATATTTATCCTTGTACAATTAACCTTTCACTACCTCCCATAACATCAGTAACATATGCGAAATCAGCTCGAAGGGTGCATTGCGCTGCGTCTCATATTATTGTCTGGAAAAAAAGATTCTCGGTTGGACTTTCGTCCATTTTCCTTTCGATTTGTGGTCAAGCCTCTCATATTTCCAGTCGACAGCGGTTTTTATTGGGAAATGTGGAAGAATCTTGAAAAAAAGAAACTAAGGAAGGGTGGTAGGAGGTGAGAAGATTCAGGAAGAGGGTGGGCAGGATATATTGGGTGGAGGAGAATCATCCCAGAAGGGAAAATTTTGAGGGGGTCATGACTTTGCAAAAGTCTCTCCAACGGCAGGGCATGTACTGGCTGCAAAACTATACCAGTCCCACTTTATACGTCAATCAACCTAGCAAGGACAGGTTTAATAATTGCGATCAAGGCACTTCCTGTCACGCCAAAGTAAGTCCCTATCAATTAAGAATTTAATGACCAGTAAAAACGCTCCGAACTGTTCATCGGAGATGGATGCTGTTGAAGGAGACTTCCCATAGCCACAGTAGATTGCCTTCATTTAGGGACACTTGTAGCTGATTTCTCTTTTTTCAGCAGGCGATGCTGTGCCTGTCAGGACTGCTCGTCTATCCATTTCTTGTCTCCGAAGCCGCCTGCGCCGGTGACGCCACTGTGCCGCTGCGAGTGCAGTTAATAGCAGCAACCTTTGTAAGCTGTGGCATTGCCACTATAATCCAGACTACGTTCGGATTACGGTGGGCTTTCTCAATTTTTTCAGCTCAATAAACTTTTTTCCTGATGAATTTCAGATCCGTCCTAAGAGAACTTGAGTACACTGCAAAAATGCTTGCAGGTTATGTGTTTTACATGGTCCAGCGATGGCATTCCTTCCTCCATTATTAGCCTATAAGGCACTCAGAGCAAGCGAATGCCCATATACTGAGAATGACCGTGTAAATGACGAACTTTGGCATGAGCGACTTCAGGAGGTAGAGATTATCAAGAAGCATGTTCCGTTAAAATTTGCACCTAGCTTTCCAGATATCTGGAAGTTTATGCATTGCGTGCATTACGTTTCTTGTGGTTGGCGGTTCGGGATTGGCCGGTGCGCTCGCGAAGCTGATTGGACCAATAACCATTGTGCCCTTGATGATTCTGCTAACTACCAGTATTGTGCCGACTATCGAAAGCAAGCTATCTCTCCATTGGATCTCACTAGTGTAAGTCTGATCACTCTTTCTTTTCAGCGTCGATGTAGGAGTGCCCTTGGTCACTAATTGTGAAGTGGAGGATAGAGAGTAGGGTTTAATATGATCTATTCATATGAACTCTTTGAAGACCCGTTTTGACTGTGGTTCAGTCCTTCGCCACCTTTTTTGAGTATATCTAGTTCCCTGTGCAGCCTACATTCCTGCAGACGCGAGCATGTGTGGGGATGGGTGGGTTGGAGCGCAGCCAGGACGGCCTCCTCACCAATTTATGGGATCTACAGTATTGAGTTTGCAACAACCGGTGGAAGGGCCGCGCTATATACCCCCCTCACCTAGTTTCCCTTGCTGATTCGCTTCAAGACGTATGTATCCCCTATTCTTCCCTCAATAAACTTTATACATCACAATCTACAGTACAGCTCAGACGGATGAGCTTTCCGACACGAATGCCCCCCCCACCTGTGCGCCACGCACTAGACTTCCCTTCGGAATCGCTGTGGTGTATTGGAGGCGGTTTTCAACTTGTCTCCCCTTGAATAGTGTCTATAAGAAGAGCTTCAGATAAAAAATGGGGCTTGAACATAAGTGAATGAGGACGAATTGCATTCAAGGTTCTCATTGAAATGAACAGCTGTGAAAACAGTCTTCATACACGTGCACAACTCCTGCAGCTGTTGATCGATAGTGCAGTGGTTAACGCGTCAGCTTCATGCGCGCGTAGCCGAGAGCTCGTCGCCCGCGCCACGAAATACCCGCTCAGATGAGCCTAACTTGGGCTACTGAGTGTTACAGATGGCGTAGAATATTGTAAATCCACGAACTTGCATCCGAGGCATGCCTCCTCTGGTTGTATATGCATGGGTTTGACAACTTTTCCGGTTTTCCCGTTGATATCTGAGGTTCCCATGCAACCAAGTGACCAGTAGGTTTGTGGATTTCTACTTAACAATAAGTCAAAGGAATCGCAGAGTTGGGTACAAGTTTTTTTCCCCGATATTCTAATTGAAGCTATTCTTTACAGTATGCTCGCCAGTATCGCGGCGATGGCGGTATACCTGGAAGATGTTCTTATACCAGTTCCTTACTATTCATTCAAGAAGATGCGAGTCATTACAACCAGAGTTCGACTTTTTGGACAGTTTCCGGTAAGACTTGCATTATTGTGATAAATTTTGTTGGACGCTGCAGTTCGTGCACCTAAAGTCAACACAAGAATGACGAGTTGTGGGCAAAAGTCTTCACCCCAGGCAAGAGGCAGCTACGGTGACGTAAAGGATGGCGTACTAGCCTATGAAACGAGAATAATAGCTCTCCAGTAAGTTCTGTTGATGCTACAACGTGGCTATCGGATGAAAGCGAAAGTGGAGGTGCGAAGTGGTGCAGCAGTGGAGGAAATGTGGTAGAAATGGCCACAGATTGTGAGGCATGTCAACGCTAGGCTTTTCCTTTTTCCAAAGGTAAAAGCACAGACATATGGAGATAACTGCCAGAGGCGGTCATTCAGGGGAGGAAACGGTCAGGGGCGGAGCTCCGGCTAGAAAGATTCTTGTCAAGTTGCTTTGCGCGTGTCATCTGATAGATGTCAGGGGTCGCGTGCGCGGAAGCTTACTCCTTTTACGAGAGTTGTTTAAACCTATAGAAATCGTCCTACCCAGTAGCTTTGAAAGCCACTGTTTCGGAAGACAAAACGCTTTATCTCAATTCTGGGCCTGGAAACGAGAAACGTATTAAGCCAGCGTTTAAGATGCTCCAGTAAATATCATGCTTCCAGGGAACTTCCTATGTACCTGTTTCTTATATAATACCTTTCAGTACCTACTCAGCATCTTATTGGTATGGTTCGTTTGTTATCTGATGACAATCACGAACTTCGAACCTGTTGGTGGTCAGGCTCGAACCGATAAGAACGTAACAATGGTCGTTCTTCGGGAGTCACCATGGTTTCAGGTGCCTTTTCCTGGTATGTTCATGAGACGTATCGCTGAGTGAATTGAAACTGTCCACAGTAACAATCCATTCAGTTGTTGTTAAGGTCAATTTGGTATGCCAAAATGGAGCATGGGATTATGTTTGGGATATGTGGCATCATGTATGGCTAGCGTCATCGAAAATATCGGCGCCTATGATCTTTTGGCTCGAGTCTCACAGCAAAGATCGCCTCCGAAGAACGCTGTCAACCGTGCCATCATGGTTGAAGGTAGGTACTACTCTGATTTCTGGTAGTGTTTCGGTCAGTTTACCATAGGTGTTCAAACATCCATCATGGGTAATCACTTTGGTGTCCTTTCAGTGTAATGTTTGAGGGAGCTAAGCTGTTGTCAGTACAGTCTTGTTTCGCTACTGACGCTGGGGATGTTGGGCAGCCAATTTTCCACCAACTGTGGTCGCCAGCCGGCTTCCAGACCAGGTGAAAAAGAGCAACGCCGCGTCAAAGCCAGCCCGCTAACACGCCTCGAGCCGGCCTTCTGACACGCCTCATCATCCGGGGTAAACAGACTGTATGTAACATTCCCGCTATCCCTTATAGGTTCAGACAGAGCAGACCAAGTCTCCAGTCCTGATCCAGAGAGCAGAGACCATTTTCTCCTATTCTGTCCAAAATTAGTAAAATTCACATTTTTTTCTAGGTCTCGCCAGTATGTTTGCGGCAGTAATGGGTGTGTGTACAGGTGTCACTACATATGCGGAAAACATCGCTCTGATTCATATCACCAAGGTTTGCTTTTTTAAGTATTGTCGACAATGATTGAAAGCGGAAGTGTGAAGTGAGCAGAGGGCTCTTAGCACTAGCGCGGTCGAGCGATCGAATCCTGTATCGGTTCCTGCCCCAGGCCATCAATGCTTTCTACCCAACCGGTACGGCAGATTGGCACCTGATCCGGCTGAGAGGAAAGAAATCTGAATTTGTATGATCTGATGGACCGCAGAATCATTGGTATAGGCCACATCACATTCAATACAGCGCATTGAGATCTTCAATGAAAGTAGAGGGCGCGGCACATCTCAATAGGGATTGACTTAGTGGGAAAGGCATTGTCCTTTAACAAGCTCTTAAGGCAAAAAAGAACTGAAACACTCACAACTAACATGCTGAGGTTCAATCAAGGGTCAACTCAACCTTTAGTAGCTCAGAGTGTTAATCGACCTCTAAAACTGGGGTGCGAAAACGTTGGCTAGCGTTAATTTGGACGTACGAATAGGCATATAGCTCGAAGAAATGAAGAAATAGAAAATCGGACAGTGCGACTGGTAGAACACTGCAAGTGCTTACAAGTATGTTGGAGCCAGAGGTTACTGGGTGTGTGCCTGTTCAAGTCAACGCTGAGCATATGGGCGGAGACAGTTAGCCATCATGCGCTCCTCATTAGCGTGCCTCTTCTCTTCACTTTATAAAATGGAGGTTACCGATAAGGAGCGCACAATGGTTTGCTATTCCCTCTCATACGACCAGCGTGAACTGTACAGTCATTCCCTGCAAATGATAAGCCGTGTGACGCGGCGCGTATTGTAGGGCAGCCAGTTCGGCCTTATTCCAACAATGTTCCCACCATGAGCCCGCTACAACTGGTGGGAAATCTGTCATGAGTGCGCTCCTAGCCATGCCCTCGTTCTACGCCCTATCAGCTGCACGGTATGGCTGTACCATTGATGTTTGAGATTTATTTCAGGTGGCCAGCCGAACGACCATGCAAATCGCCGGTGTTATTTTGATTCTCCTAGGTCTATTCACCAAGATGGCCGCCTTGTTAGCTTCGATCCCAGACGCATTAGTCGGCGGTGTTCTCATGATGGGAATATCCATGATTGCTGGTGTGGCAATGAGCAATCTACAGGTATTAACTCCTTTCAATTTCTCTCAATATTTTTGAGAACCCATGTACAGCTGCCTAAAGATATTCTTGGAGGTCTGGGGAATACATGATAATCTTGGAGGAGGATCCTTTCCGTGGGAAATCTGGTGGGAAATCTGTCATGAGTGCGCTCCTAGCCATGCTCTCGTTCTACGCCCTATCACGTGAGCAGGGTTGGCATGTCCGCACCCCCACGAATTTAGCACCTTCGTCAGTGGAAAGCGTAGCTATGAAGCAAGAGGCTTCTGAGGGTTAGATTTTCGTTATGCCACCTCCTACATTCTATACGCCGCAGGGCCACGTCGTTCGCACCATTCGACTGCGCAATCTTACCGAGATACCCGGTAGGTTTGCCTGAGCCAGAGAGCACAGTACAACATCGTTGGGGGGGTCGTGCTTGAGGAGGGAGGGTCGTGTGTGGTCTTTTTTAGAAAATTT